TCGGCAGGGGACGTGGGTTCGTGCCCCGGTCCGGGAAGATCCCACATGCCGCGGAGCGGCTGGGCCCGTGAGCCATGGCCGCTGAGCCTGCGCGTCCGGAGCCTGTGCTCCGCAACGGGAGAGGCCACAACAGTGAGAGGCCCGCGTACCGCAAAAAAAAAAAAAAAAATAGGGCGGGTGATGATAAATACAAACTCTAGGTAGTGGTTTCCCCTGGAGGAAGGGAGGCAGAGGGCAAGGAGATGTGCCAGCAGGGTTCTGTTCTCCAGTTGGGTGGGGGGTTCGTGGGTGATTATTATGTGTAATAATAGGGTAAACAAACAACGGAAATAAAAGGCCAGTCATGGTGCAATTATTACAGTGATCCTAACGAAGAATTCAGATTAATCTAATTCTAATCATCTGAGGTCCAAAAAGACAGAAAAATCACTAACAAAAATAAACAGCACCCCAACAATAAAATTTATATGTGCCTCTCCACCCCAGTACACCTATTTACATGACGATTATATTTTATAATTATAATCCAGGCTTTTTGGTAAAATCATGACGTGATGGTTCTCATAATTTCCACTGTGGTGAGGAGCATAGGCTCTGAGTTGGCCAGACCTGGTTCAAATCCCAGCTCCGCCATTTGCTAACCACGTGACCCTGAGAAAGCGGTTCCTCCCCCACTAATCCTCCCCATCATAGGCCTGGGAGGTGCTGATTAAATAATACATAGAAATGTAGGTAAAAACAAACATGCAGGGGCTTCCCTGGTGGCGCAGTGGTTGAGAATCTGCCTGCTAATGCAGGGGACACGGGTTCAAGCCCTGGTATGGGAGGATCCCACATGCCGCGGAGCAACTAGGCCTGTGAGCCACAACTACTGAGCCTGCACGTCTGGAGCCTGTGCTCCGCAACAAGAGAGGCCGCGATAGTGAGAGGCCCGCGCACCGCGATGAAGAGTGGCCCCCGCTTGCCACAACTAGAGAAAGCCCTCGCACAGAAACAAAGACCCAACACAGCAAAAATAAATTAATAAATTCCTACCCCCAACATCTTAAAAAAAAAAAACACGCTATGTGTATAAGGTATGTAAAGACAACATGCCTGTAATGTACATACAAAGCCTGGTATGTTGCAGGTTCTACAAGTCAAGTTCTTGAATAAATCACGTTTGATTCATTCAGACTAGTCTGCTGAATGAATCAAACGTAAAGCAGGCTCTGTCACCCCTGTGACATGAAAACAGCAGGGAAGCAGCAGTCACGAGGTGGAAGCACATCCTGGTAGTGGGTGGGAACGCGTGTGCTCCGTGTGGAGGGGTAAGGCCCATCACCTCTGCCACTGAGCCTGCCCAGGGCCAGGAGCGTTGGGGTGACGGAGCCTCAGTCCTCGCCTCAACCCCAAGGGGGCTGGGCATGGCTGCTCTAGACCCTTCAGGCTAAGACGTGGTGATCCATCTTCTGAAACCCCCAGGCTGCTTGTACAAGAAGAGGGTTCCTACCTGCAGGAAGGTCAGGGCTGCTCTCTGCAGCAGGCACTCTGCGTAGCAGACCTCAGCGTGGATTTCCACTGCAGGGAGAAAACCAAAGCCCTGCGGCCTCCTGGGACTCTTGGCAGGAGGCTTGGGCCAAATCCTCCTCATCCCACTTCCCCAAAGGCAAAGGGAGCCTGAATCAGCACCTGCCTGCCACCTCCCGAATCCCCATCACCAGGTTACCTGGTGGCAGGCACCATTGCCCTGAATTAGCTCACACCCCCGACCCCACCCCCGAGAATGTCAGCACGGGGCCCTGGGCCTTGTTCTCTTGTCCTCCGGGCGTCACTGTAGGTGCTGTGCACCAATACCCCTACAGTGCTGGGATGAATGGATAAACCCAGGGAAGCTGCAGGCTGCAGGAGTAAGGAAGGAGAACGAACACAGCCCGAGGAGTCAGGAAAGACTTCCAGAAGAAGACACCTGAGTTGGGCTATTTGAGTTGAACATGGGATGGAAGGATGAGGCAGGAAGAGCTTTCTCAGCAGAGGCCCAGGAAAGCCAAACAACTCAGGTGCCTGGGGGACAGCTGAGCCACAGAAGGTTGAAATGGGGTGGAGCAGGGAGAGATTTAGGGGACAGGGAAAGATGAGGGGCAGAAGTCTGGCTGTAAAGGGTCTTAAACACTGGTGGAGGCCTGCAGATTTGGTCCTGTGGGCAGCAGGGAGCCATGGAAGGTAGGAAGGAGAGAGTGGCACCATCATAAGCACTGTTTTGCACTGGAACCTTCAAAGGGCTCTCGAGGTGGGGAGGGCCATTTGCCCCTGCACTAAAGGGCCCCAAATTGCTTATGGTTGGCTGCTGCTGTCTCTAGGACTGCCACATGTGGTCACGGCACAAAGATGCCACATGGCTCTGGTGGCCCAGACCTTCTCTTCCACGGCCCCCAGCTGTTTCATCTCAGTGTGTCAGCCTCTAGGACCACATTCCCCGCAGGAGCACGTGAGATCACTAAGATAATTAAACCAGTAGACCTAACTGCACACACAGTCCTAAGCCCACACTGGCCTGAGGAGCAAAGTGCATGGACCTTGTGACAGCATTTTCTTACCCAATTTCCAGCAGGTAATACTGTCAGGTAAGTGAATCTCACCTGCTCCCCCGCCCTCACCACCCCACCCCCACCCCCGCCACCTGAGACCAGTCCTCAAAAGGCCCCAGGTCTGACCCATCTGTGTCCCAGTGTCTAGGGCAGGGCCCGGCCCCCTGGGTGACAACTGGGAGGACACCTGTCCCTTCCCCCCCCCTTCCTGGGCCTGGAACCGGGCTGCCTGGCGTCAGCAGAGTTGAGAGCACATCCCAGCTGCCACACCTTCCGTGAATTGGTCCATAGTGGGGCGGTGCAACAGGTTGTTGAAGGAATCTGTTACAGAGGACTTCCTCCGGTGCCTGAAGAGGAAAATGGGATCTCAGGTCATTCAGGGAGGGTGAGCGAGGGGCCCGTGGGCCTCCAACAGCATCTCCTGCCCCTCCCGTAGGACTCCACACACTAAACTCCTGGCAACTCCCCCCAGTCCAGGCCTTCTCACACCCTTGCCCCTGCTGTTGCCTCTGCATGGAGCCCCCTCCCCCGCCCGCTCTACCCTGGCCAGTTCCTAGTCACCCTATAGGACCCAGCTCTGGCATCACCTCCTCCAGGATGCCTTTCCTGCTCCTCCAGCTGGACCCCCACGACCCCATGAGCCTCCCTGCATCGGGCTAGGATGTTACTGTCTGTGCCTGTCTCCCCGATCAGCCAGTTCAGGCGTCAGAGGGGCCGGGGTCTGATGATTCCCTGGGTGGCTAGTGCCCAGCACAGGGCCTGGCCTAGGGCAGGCAGGGGTGTGTCCCAGTGAATGACGACTCCACCTGTGCACGAACCCTGAGGGTCTATTCATTCACGCATACAGGCAGTTAACGTGTACTGAACACAAACTATGCACCAGGTCCCGTAACCGAAGTCTTCATTCAGTCCCCACAACAACCCTGTCATCACACCCATTTCACAGATGAGGAAAGTTCAGACCAGAAAGGGGCTTGCCCAAGGTCAGCGAGTTATTACGTGACAGAGCCAGGATTTGTCTCCTCCCAAGCCAGCCTGGCCCCTGGAAGCCCTCCGTGACTGGCTCAGACAACACAGCTCCTGAGGCAGTGCTAACAGGGATGGGTTTTAGCACTTGGGGACACCTTTTTTTAGCCAAAAGGAGTAGGACTGATAGTGGCATGTTAGGCACTGGGATAGGCCAAGGTGACAGAAGAATGGGCCTCACAACCCCTCATCCCTGTCCACACCCCCGGCCGCGACCTCTGACAGAGCGACTGGGCCTCCTTCAACATGTTGCCAGCAAGTAGGATGTCCTGGGGGTCAAAGGTCATCATGGCCTGCATCTCCAGGATGGTGGCATACGTCAGTGAGTGGTACATGCTCTCCTTGGTTCTGCCAGAGAGAAGGGACACGAGAGCATAAACTCCTAGAATTCCAAGGTAGCTGACCCTGTGTCATCACCCCCCGTTCCCTCCCCCAACCCGCATGGGAGGAAACACAGGTCCAGAGAGGGGAAGGGACTCGCCAAGGGCTGACCCTTCCATTGCTGCTCAGGCGGCCTCGGATCCCAGCATCTCTTCTTCCTGCTGAGTGGCTCTACGTGACTCCAATCTGAGCCTCGGTTTCTCACCCATTCCACATGGATGGAAGCAGCAAGGCTGCCGTGAGGACTCCGCAAGAGCTCAGCAGTGTGTTGGCCTGAGGTGGTACTCCCCTGCGCCAGGGCCTGCCTCTCACCTGCTGCCCCATCTACCACAGGTCCTGTCTGTGGGGTCTCTTCTCTCCTCAAGCCCCACCTTGGGCTTGCCCATCCTTGTTCCCTGGACCTCACTGACCTCGCCACCTCCTGCCTCTCCCCACCCCATCATCTGATCCTGTTGCTCTCTGCCTGAGCCCTCCCGTGACTTCCACATCCCATGAGACAATGCTGGGGGCCCGAGGCGCCACACATCACAGGCCCTGCCCACCTCTCCAGCCCAGCCCTCGTATCACTTATGCTTCTGACCCACCATCTGGTCACATTCAAGACTATACCACACTGAACCACACACACTCTCCTCGAGAAAAGCCCACATCTTCCCTCCTGCAGGCCTTTGTCCTTGCTGTTCCCTCAGCCTGAAATGCCCATCCCCTACCCCCGCATCCCCTGACTCATCTGTCAAGGCCCTCAAATGCCTCAAAGGCCACTGGGAATCCAGGGCTCCCTCCCAAAGGGAGCATGTGTCTATAACTGAGGCACAGGTCACACTGAACTTGTATTAGCCGAGGCTCAGCTCTCTCCCAGACTGTGGGCTCCTCAAGGACAGCGCTTGTGTGAGATTTATCTCTGACTCAGCACCAACGTGACAGGGCTGAGCGAGCCGGTCTCAGGAAGCCTCCCCGTCCTGTCTCCTGGCTCCGCCACAGCCCCAGACCTTGCATCTAAAGGGTGTTGGGGGGAAGAGGGGTGGCATTTAATCTAACACACGCAGAGAGCAACAGGCAAGGAAGGATGGGACCAATGCCAGTCCTCCTCTGTACGTGGGGAAGTCACAATGTATCTGGGCCTTGATTTATGCTTCTGCAAAATGGGGACAATAATGCTGGCCCACCCGAGTCCATGTGGGTCTGGCTGGGGATTACCCTTGCCTGGCACACAGTAGATGCTGCAGCGATTTTTTGCTCCCTTCCCCACACCCCCTTATTAATTATTTTCCAAACTCCTCAGTGCCAGGCTTATGCTGGGGACTTCAGGGGAGAGAGAAGATGACTAAGGTTTATAGACCATCTATTCTATCCTAAGACTTCACCTGTTCCTCATTCATAAAGCACCTCTGTAAATTAAGTTGCTTTTTTACTTCTGGGTGATTCTCAGGTGATATTATCCTTGGAAGTCAAAGGTTCATGAAGGAGACCAGTGTTGGCAGCTGTTGGGACACCTCCCAGGTCTCTGCTAGAACTGCTTATCTGAGGGCAGTGGCTTGTGGAAAGGAGGCCACGGTCTGCAGTGGGGTTACAGAACTCAGGCTTCAGAGTCTCTCAGACACAGGTTGGAATCCTGGCCTCGCTAGTCACCAGCTGTGTGATCCTCGTGAGTCTTGCAGCCTCTCTGAGCCTCAGGCTTTTCCTCTGTAAAATGGATACAATAACCCTTCTCTCCCAGGACTTTGGGTGGCTTAAGTAGGGTGCCCAGGCCAGGGCCATAACACCGATGTTCAATGAATGTGAGTCTGAGTCCCTCTGTGTCCTGCCAGGGTCAAGGGTCATTGCCCTACATAAAAACTTTCTCCCTGAGGAAGGGTTTCCCGGGCAGCACACAGACCCACCTCCCAGATAATCCCCTTCCCCCAGGCCTCTCCAACTCTCACCCTCCTCGCCCCCAGGTCCCAGGCCCAGACTCAGCCACACCTGCCCAGCCCAGTAGGAGGGAGAGCCCCTCCTGGGCAGCTGGCAGGCGAAATGGAATTTCTAGTCTGAGGCCCAAGGCCCCGACAGGCACCTGCAGCTGGGAATCCTAGCCCCTCCCCAGCCCATGACGTGGAAGCCCCCAACTCTGGTCTGGACTGGGATTCAGGGCACAGAGGTATAACAACCCCCCGGACCTCAGGCACCCCAAGTTTAGTCTGCACTCCACAAAGTCCTTGTTGTACATATGGCGACCAGACCCCTAGAAGCAACGATCCCCTCACCTCTGAGCTAGACCCACCTCTAGGACATGATGCCCAATGGGGTCTCACCTGCCAGGCCTAGACAAGCTGTCAAGATGGGGAGGGCACTGGAAGAGCCATCGGAAAAGCAGGGTGTTGGGACTGGGGACTCCTTGGCCACCTGGAGGTCTGCTAAGCCCAGCGGCCTCCAGCCCTTCCCTCCTCTGCCAGTAGCCAGGGCTCAGGCCCTTGTCAGCTATTCATCAGCCATCCTGTCCTCACCATCAGGACAACTGACTCTGACCCAAACCCCACTGCTGTTTCCTGGGGACACCCCTGCAGTCACAGCCTAAGGCCTTACTTCCCGAGGACCTCTCTGGGCGAGGATGCCCCCCTGCAGCCTGTCTCAGAGACAGACCCCCTGCCTCCAAGCCACTTTCCTTCACCCTCATGAAATCCCCCCACGCCTCTCAGACCCACCTCGCTGCCCTCTTCTCCAGCCCAACCACCTTCTGGGGGACTCATATCCCCAGTCCACCTTCCATCACCCTGCCCTCTCCCTTCTGGGACCGTCCCCAGCTCTCCCCACCCCAGCCAGGCTGACTATCTGTCTTCCTCAAATACACTAGACCTTTGTTCACTGCCAGGCCTTGGCACTGGCTGTTCCTCTGCCTGGAAATGCCCTCTCCATCTGGCTGACTCCTTCTCATCCAACCTCTCTCAACTTAAATGTCACTTCCTCCAGGAAGACTTCCGGGGCTGGCTGAACACAGGTGTGCGATCTGTGCAGTCACACGGGGCTCCATGCTTGGTTTAATGCTCTGCTGTCACCGTTTTGAAACACTTAATAATTTTTGAACAAAGAATTCCACATTTTCACGTCGCAGTGCACCCCGGAAGGTATGTGGCTGGTCCTAAAGCCATTATTACTTGTTTCACTTGGTGCAGTGAGGAACCCTGAGAAGGGCTCACGCCCCGCTCGGTACTGCAGCCCCAGCACCCGGCCCACCGCCGGCCACAAGAGGGCACTCCTGAGGTGCTGCCGAGTGAACGGGCCCCAGGCGCCCAACTGCCCCATCCCATGGTTCACACCTTGACCTCCCCGTCAGCCCAGAGGCCAGCTCTGCTTCTGGAGTCCTGCACGATACCACCCACCCTCCCAGCCACAGACTCCCCGCCTGCCGCCTGTGCGCTCTCTCCAGTCACTCCCACTGCCCCATCCCCCCACCTCCAGCCTGTCCTCTCTCCCTGACCCCCTAGCTGAGCTTCCTCATACCAGCCACTCTCTTGTCAAAACCCTCACTGCTGGCCTGCCAACTCCCGCTGCCCTGGTTAGGAGCCGCGCGACCGCCTAGTTTCTCCGCGGCGCTGCCACTGAGCAAGGCAGGAGGAAGCCGCCAGCCACACGGACGGGCACGCTCTGAGCGGGGCCCCCAGCCTCGGCCCATCGTGCCACTCATGAACTTCTGCCCAGTCCCTGCCACCTCCCCAGCCCAGCACCAGCCTGGCCCCTTCCTCTCAGCGGGGGACTTTGCTTCCTCCCCCAGAGGGATCCGGGACAGTGCAGGGGCACACCACCCTCCCTCGGCCCCACACACCTGTTCTACCTCCTTCCCTCCCTCCTGGAAGACGCGGCACGTGTGAGGCCTCCTGTGCCAGGGAAACTCCACCTGCTTGAGATCCAGGATGGCCCAGGAGGCAAACTGTGGGTTGTGGAGCTGAATGGGGCTGGATGTGCATCCTGGTCCTGCTGCTTATCAACCATGACCATGTTTTTCATCAAATGAGTAGTGTAGCTACCATGTTCCAGAGACAGTGCTCAGGGACACACACAGCGTGAAGTAAAATAAACCAGAAGCTACTCAAAGAAGTGAAAAAAGGAAAGCAAATGGTGTATATATGGTGACATATATACACCAATCTGTATAAAACAGATAACTAATAAGAACCTGCTGTAAAACAAACAAACAAACAACAAAGTAGTATAACATGCAGGTTCTGGTGTTAGTTTGGGGGAAAGAAAAAAGAAAGAAGTGAAAAAGGGAAAGCAGAAGCTGGGGTGGGGGGAGGCTTGGAGAGCCCAGTTACTCCCCGAGGGCAAAGTGTGGGTGACAGTGAAACGAGACACCACGCGTGCTATGGGGAGCAGTGGATGACACTGACCCCCAGCATCCTTCACAGCTTCAGTGGCTGTGAATGGGGAGAGCAGACCGTTTTTGAGCAAGAATTATTTTATCTAGACCAGTGGTTCTTAACAGAGATGGGGAGGTATTTTTACTGAATCTGCCCACCCCTCCCCTGACAGCTAGCAATTTCTGGAAACATTATTTGGTTGTCACAAGAAGGGACGGGGAGTGTGCTCATGACATCCACTGTTTGGGGAGGAAGCGCTTCAACTCAAAAGAAAGCAAAGACCCTTTTCCGGAATGGGGCAGGAGTCAAGAGAAAGAGAGGTTACAGTGCCTCACGTGTGAGATGAAAGGTGACCTCACAGGAAGCCTGTTCTCTCTGTGGTGCTTCCTTCAGGGCAGGCGTTGCCTCTCGGGGGCCTGAGTTGCAGGACCCCTAGTAGAGGGCCCTCCTGAGGTGAGGGAAGGCGAGGCAGCCCCTCAGCGAGGAGGGGGCCGAGGGCGGGAGGAGGGCGTTGAGGGGGCAGTGGCAGAGAGGAGCCACTTCGGGACGGGTAGTGACCCGGAGGGAAGGGGAGCCGGGGAGCCTCCCTAAAGCACTGGGAGGGGAGCCTGGATGTTCGGTGACGGGGCAAGATGGGGCCTGGCCTGCCTCAGGCAGCGGCCCCACTCCCGAGCAGACCCGGCCCTGCCGTACCTCAAGCTGGATCCCCCCAGAGGGTGGGGATGAGGTGTGAGGACTGCTCGCGGAGGGACTACCGTATGACTCAAGACCACCAAGCCCTGGAGCTGCCCCGCTCAGAAGCTGGGCCACTGACCCCAGACAGGAGATCAATGGGTCAGTCAGGTCTAGAGAAACTGAACAGGCCTGGCTTGAGGCTTGGGGAAAGCCGTCCCCCTACCCCAGCACTTGCTTTCCCTGGGGACCTGGGGGAACCAGTTGTGGCAGAGGACAACCTAGAGCTGCAAAGAGGGGATCGGGCAAGCAGGCAGCAGACATGATTAGACCCCTGGCCCCTCACCCCTATCCCAGTCCCGGAACTCAGGCAGCCAGGGGCTCTCTGTCCAGACTGAGGAATGGAGGATTCTTCTCTGGAAAAGCTAACATCTGGGGCCCGCTCTCTGCCAGATCATCCAAAAGCTGATCCCACCAATTACAAGGCTTCTTGGCCCAGACCTTCCAGTTGGCCTTTGAGTGAATGTGCTCTTAAATACGACCAGACAGCCAGCCAGGGACCATCGGGCATTTCAGGGTAGCGCCCCCCACCCTACCATGAGGAGAGTACTCCCCCCATTACACAGAAAAAGGAAACCTGGAGAAAGCCAAGATTATGCAGGGAAAGAATAAAATACTTTTAAAAGAGATAATATTCTGTGCTAATAGTAATAACAACAATAAATACTTATTAGAGGGCTTGCTACATGCCAGGTCCTATCCTCAGGACACTCATATTTTTAAATATACATATAAAGAACACAGTGCACTCATAAACAAAGAATAAGATGTTTTAGGAAAAAAAGAACATTCAGAGAACACTGAAGAGTACTAGGGAATTAATCATATGATTACACACAAGAAAGAAAAGTCAGTGGATTTAATGATAAGGTTGAGGAACTCTCCCATAAATCAGAGGAAAAAAGATAAAGAAATGCGAGGGGGGTGGTGTGTGGATAAATATCTTAGAAGAGGACTGATCCAGGAAGTCCAATACCTGCCTTAAACAAAGCCCAGGAAAGGGAAACAGAACGTGGAAGGATCATACGAGAGAATTTCCTAGAACTCAGTTTCCGAATAAAAAAATACCAAGAGGACTTCCCCGTTGACGCAGTGGTTGGGAATCCGCCTGCTAACCTGGGGACATGGGTTCGAGCCCTGGTCTGGGAAGATCCCACATGCCACGGAGTAACTAAGCCCGTGTGCCACAATACTGAGCCTGTGGTCTAGGGCCCACGAGCCACAACTACTGAGTCCGTGTGCTGCAACTACTGAAGCCCGCGCGCCTAGAGCCTGTGTTCGGCAACAAGAGAAGCCACTGCAATGAGAAGCCCACACACTGTAATGAAGGGTAGCCCCCGCTCGCTGCAACTAGAGGAAGCCCGTGTGCAGCAACGAAGACCCAGCGCAGCCAAAACAAACAAAGAAAAAAAAATGCCAAGTAAAAAGACCTACATTCTGGCACATCATTGTGAAATTTCAGATTTGCAGGAATAAAAGAGAAGATCCTAAACATCTCTGGAGAAGGAAAAAAGACCCCATGCCATGTAAGAAGAATCAGGATTCTCCCGGCTACAGTACATGCCAGAAAACAGGGCAGAAAACAACGCCTTCAAAATTCTGAGGGGGAAAGATCATATTCATGCAACTCTCTCTTTGGAAATTTCTAGAGGACATGCTCTAGTTAAATGAGGGAGGATACAGATATGAGAGAGAAAAAGCCAGGCCAAGCAAACAGGGGAGAAGCAAAGGGGATTCCAGGAGCCGGCTGGAAGGTGGCCAGTAAACAGGCCTGTCTTCCAGGGGAAAGGTTTCCAGGAAAAAGAGGGACTGAGGGCTTACCTGATATGTCTGAGTATTTATGGAAAACCTCATGACTTGATGGAGTAGTTATAAAGAGTTCAGGATAAACGTATAGCGAATCAGGCAAATGAAGAAAACAAGACAATTATTAACTCCAGAAAGAAAATGTAATCTTATAATGTAAGACTTGTCTCTGCAATGAGCATAATTACATAGTTATAATAATGAAAATACTGATTACTGATTTAGCCAGATATTGTGATATAATGATAGGAGGAGGGAAGGGAGG